ATGTTTCTGGGAAATATTAGGGGTCTAAACAGACCCCTGATATTTCCCTTTTAAAATAGAAAAAGAGATTGAGAACAGAGTCCTCAATCTCTTTTTCTGTATCCCCTGTTATCAATGAACAGGAATCCTTTATACTGAGTGTTCCTGTTCATTCATAACATAGTATGTTTACTATAACCACAACTATGAATAAACAGGAGGTGATGTAGATCATTTCCATTCATTCATAATTGAGGTTACAGTAACCATACCATATCCTCAATTATCTACAAACACTGAGCGATCACTGATCACTGACTGCTTGTACCCGCTCTCCTCTCTAACACGCTGTCACAGGAGGCTGAGCGAGCGGTGTAGGGAGGAAAGCTCAGCCTCCTGTGACAGCGTGGGCTGTCTCCGCCCCCACTCCGCTCTGCCGGACTGTGATAGGCGGCTGAGCGGTGTGGGAGGAGAGACACAGGCCGCTCACGGCGGTCTCCTCCCGCTGGATGTCACTTTCTCTCCTCCCCGCTGGGACACAGAGGAGCGCCCAGCGGGGAGGAAAGAAATCACGGATGCGCCGACAAAACGGCAGGAAAATGGCACTTTCGGCATTTAGCCAAAAGTGCAATTTTCGGCCGGCGCCCCCCTTCAGCTTTACCCCCGGGGCCAGCACACCGGCTGCTCCCCCGGTTGTTACGCCACTGGTCCTAATAGCCATCAGATCTCTAATATGTTCAGATCACCCTGGAAACCTAAAGCCTGGGGCACTCTGGAAGCTACCTAAAAATATGTGAAGATGTCTGGATGTGTCTGCTCTTCACCTGTACTGACAGCATGTCTTTGGAATGTGGGAGGAAACGGGTACCCGGAGGAAGTACACGCAAGCACAGGAAGAACATGCAAACTCCTTGTAAATAGTGACTTGGCCGGGATGCGCACCATGGACCTCCAGTGCTGCAAGGCAGAAGCACTTTACGCTTTTAAAGCAGAAGTTTATTCTGCTTAGATTTGCTCCTTTACCCTCTCATCAACATGCTAATAACCTTTCTGTTTTCATTATAAAACTGTATTTCTCTGTGCAATGCAGGCAGATTATGGCTGGTGGGAGGGGCCGGCAGGGTGCAGTACATAGCTTCCTGAAAACATTGCAGCACCTTGTCTCAGTACTCCTGTTCTATCAAAGATTGTGACTGGGTTGGAATGTGTGACCGGTCACGTGGTCACACATTTTAACGTGATCCCGCCCACTTTTTCTGCGGTGGAATATGTGACCGGCAAAAGGAGAAGAATTCCAACGCTCTGACAGCTGTTCCAGGGCGATTGGCATTGCAGATCGTATGTGCAGGAGAACTGATCTGCCCTGGAACAGCTGATCGGTCCTGAAATGTCACTTCTATCCAACTTTGTGGAATGTGAGATCGCGCTCACAAAGTCACATTTCAGGACCGATCAGCTGTTCCAGGGCAGATCAGTTCCCGTGCACATACGATCTGCGATGCCAATCGCCCTGGAACAGCTGACAAAGCGTTGAAATTCTTCTCCTTTTGCCGGTCACATATTCCACCGCAGAAAAAGTGGGCGGGATCACGTTAAAATGTGTGACCACGTGACCGGTCACACATTCTAACGCAGTCACAAACTTTGATAGAACAACTCCTCCCAAAACTTCTCAGTCTTGATGCAAGCAGTGGGCTGGCTCATAGGAGGAGTTATGCAAATATCAAAATGCCTTAATGGGTGGGTGGGTGTGAGTCTGGATGAGTTGGCATTCCTAGGTAGGCTGCATTTGCATGCAGAGTGCCCTGGTTAAAGGAGAATTATGAGGCGAGTGATTTTCACTTAGCCTCATATTCTGAGCCGACCTGTGACAATGAGACTGTCACAGGTCGGCTCAATAGATCGGGAAGTGAGAGAACACATACCGTTGCTCGCTCACTTCTCGATCTATCCCTGCAGAGAGCTGTGACTGTCACTCACGGCTCCCTGCAGGGATTCCCCCCCTCCCCTGTCCGATCCTCCAGCGCTGACTGGAGGAACGGACGGGGGAGGGGGCGGGCACAGCTGGCTCTGCCTCTGGATAGGCAGAGCCAACTGTCAATCCCGCAGCTGGGTGGATCCAGACAGCAATGTCGAGATCCGTTCCCGCTTCGGCGTCTCAGCTATAGCTTGCGGTATACTGGGCTTTGGGTGAGGGGAGAACGCTAGTTTGTGTTCTACTGTGACCCTTAGGAGAACTATGGGGAAAAGCCCTGACCCCCTAGTTCTCCTTTAATGCCCACCTGTGATGCTGACCATCTATGATTGAAATAACTATAATCCAATGAGGCGGCCCAGAGACAATAAGGCTGGGGAGGAAATAACTTGATGATGCTGGGCACCCTCCAGCCAGGAAATGAGGAGGGCTCTATCTTGCTGCAGCTTCTAATGCACATTATGAGAAGCCCTCAGTGTGCAGCAAAATCTTATTACACAATTTCATCCCAGGAGAGAAGCCGGCACAACTGTGCAAGACTGAAGGCAATGGCGGAGGTTAAGATTCGAATTAAAGAAAAAGGGGGGGTCTCACAAATTCGGAAATATAAGCAGAAGCCACCAAGCCAGTCTTGATGTCTCAATGAGATGAGAGCAGATAATGCAGTTCCTGAATGGCTGCACTTTTATTGGTCCTCATTTCTGATTTTCCCATGCCGCAGGAGTTTGAGATGGATCACAGAATTCGCGAGGAAATGGAGCGGCAAAAGTCGGAGAGCGTGCGCACTGTGCTAAAGGAACTGGCATGGGAGCAAGAGAAGTACAACATTGGACTAAAGAAACTGCAGGCCCAGTGAGTAATATGTCAGAACATACGGGGAACTTTAACCTTAAAGTGGACCTGTCCTCAACCTGGGCAGTTCGTGCTTAGCATAAGATGAAAAATGCATAGGTAGGGTTGCCTTCAGAACCCTTGATGCTTCATATTTTGATGACTGGATGTCATACCCATTTGCCCCCACCAAGGCAGAATTTTTCTAGAGGCTTTTATAGATGATTGGTGAATGGGCGTGAGAGGAGACTTGCATGCGGCAGACTTCTTTTCGTCAATCAGGAGGTAGGCAGAAGGGCATAAACAGAACGGTTTACAGGTTAATGATGGTTCAGCATGTTGTAGGGGACAAAGTGAACAGATCCTTTCAGTTAAGAGAGGAGCTGGTGGGTACCATGTCAACATTTGGGACATTTAGTGAGGACTCATGATGACAGTGATGCAAGATCAAATAAGCACTGAGACCGAAAGGTGTGCAGAGATTTCAGCCTGCTCAGCCCACTAGTTAAATAAGAATTATAAGCTGATGAAAACGATGAATATAGTTCAAGTTTTACAGCATTTGATGTGGAAGCCTCAAATTCTTATAGTCACCATTAAAGAGGCTGTGTAAGAACAAGTGTTGAGGGTGCAATATGGGAGAAGGATAAAGGGAGGGAATGAGGGAGTGATATGGGCTTGCAACTAACTGCAGATGGAACTAGAAAAAAGCTGACAACGCAAGCTCCAACGTAGCGTATTATGTGTATCCTGTAAGGAAATTGATCCTTTTAGGAAGTGAGGGCCCTGGTCATGAGTAGGGATGAGTGAAGGTGCCCTCACTTCTTAGGGTAGCACCTTTCATTGTATATTCTCATGACCATGCCCTCACTTCCCAGGGGAGTAACTTACAGTTTGTCTACTCTTGCCAGGGCCCTCGTGACTAAAAGACGGGGAATGTGCTCTCCTGAGAAGTGAGGCCCCTGGTCCTGAAAAGAGACAATGGAAGGTGCTCTCCTGAGAAATGAGGCCCCTGTTCCTGTAAATAGACAATGGAAGGTGCTCTCCTGAGAAGTGAGGCCCCTGGTCCTGAAAAGAGACAATGGAGGTGCTCTCCTGAGAAGTGAGGCCCCTGGTCCTGAAAAGAGACAATGGAAGGTGCTCTCCTGAGAAGTGAGGCCCTAGTCCTGAAGAGAGACAATGGAAGGTGCTCTCCTGAGAAGTGAGGGCCCTAGTCCTGAAGAGAGACAAGGGAGAGACAGGACCAGGACCTGCACTTCTCAGGAGAGCATCGTCCCTTGTTTCTCCGCAGGACCATGGCCCTCACTTCTCAGAAGAGCACTTTCTGTTTGTCTCTCCTCACTTCTCAGGGAAAGTGAGGGCCATGGTCCTGAGGAGAAACAAGGGAAGATGCTTTCCTGAGAAGTGCGGACCCTGGTCCTGAGGAGAGATAAGGGAGGGTGCTCTTCTGAGAAGTGAGGCCCCTGGTCCTGAAAAGAGACAATGGAAGGTGCTCTCCTAAGAAGTGAGGCCCTTGGTCCTGAAAAGAGACAATGGAAGGTGCTCTCCTAAGAAGTGAGGCCCTTGGTCCTGAAAAGAGACAAGGGAGTGACCGGACCAGGGCCTGCACTTCTCAGGAGAGCATCGTCCCTTGTTTCTCTGCAGGACCATGGCCCTCACTTCTCAGAAGAGCACTTTCTGTTTGTCTCTCCTCACGACCTGTCAGGGTACCCTGCACAGGCGTTCTCACACCACATGCAGGTACCCACACAGGATGACCAAATTAATATGCCCACACAGGATAGGGTTATATGCACAGTTTATTGGTTCCACATCAACAAAACTACACACCCAACAAAGAGGGGGTAACAGGCCTGCAGATGTACAGCAGGCCTCGGGATACCAGAAGAGTGGTCAGGTACAAGCCGAGTCGTTAACAGGAGGGCAGCGCGGTACAGGAACAGGATTGATGAAGAGTGGTCAGGTGCAAGCCGGGTCGGTGACAGGTTTTCAGATAGGGAGCAAGGTTCAGGGAGCAAGGTTCAGGACATGGGCATCAGTCAGGTTTAGCAACACAATAATGACCCAGCTTCCTGACTGCAGGGAGGGCCTAAATACCCTCCCAGGAAGCACCAGGTGATGGGATGATCAGTCACAGCTGGGGCACACCCGCAGGTGAGTACTGGAGCTGCAGGTTCCTTACAGTTCCTGGCTGCTGGAGACACCCGCAGGCGAGCACAGGAACTGCAGGACCCGGCCCCAGCGCCACCTGGGGGTGCTCTGGATCCTGACACGACCATGGTCCTCACTTCTCCTAGGAAGTGAGACTACCAAAGGTGCCGTTACACTTTAAGCTTGTGTGTTTCTTCCACTGAATGTCTCCATTTTGTATACCAGGTTCCGGGATAAGGTGGAGTTTGATACGGTGACAGTGCGTGCATTCAGCACTGAGCATCAAGTAGCCACATACAGACTCCTGTGTCTCTCAGAGAAATACTACAAGGCAAAGGGGATGATTGCTAAAAGAAAGCCCGATCGCAATGACATCATTCAGAAAGAGAATATGTCTAATGAATATTCAGGTATCGCACAGCATGACAATGCCCCTCAAGTGTTTCCCTTACTTCCCAATCCTAATACTACTCCCCTACTCCCGACTCCTACCTCATTCCCTCCTTAAATGATCACGGGGCAATTTCTATTCCTGGTTATTTTGTGCTATACTGTATGTATTGCTTTGTTGGCAGGTGATCTCGGGGCCAGGAATGTGGTGACGGCAGGTGCAGTTCCAGAGCCCGATCTTGGGGCCCGGAAGAGGGGCCAGCAACAGATGTCGCAGTGGGCGTGGAAGAGGTCCGAACGGCAAGTGGAAAGAATCCGCAAAGTCATAGACAAGGCTGAGAAGGCAAAATCTAAGATTTCCCAGAGGAAGCAGGAATGGGATAAGTTGTAAGTTATGATCAGGGTTATATGTTTCTGGAAACACTACCAACCAATTCACACCTCTCCACTTCACTGCCAGGACACTACGGGCACTACCAACCAATTCACACCTCTCCACTTCACTGCCAGGACACTACGGGCACTACCAACCAATTCACACCTCTCCACTTCACTGCCAGGACACTGCAGGCACTGCAAACATATTCACACCTTTGTACTTCACTGCCAGGAAACTGTGGGCACTGTAAACTGATCCACGCAGCTCCATTTCACTGCCAGGGCACTGCAGGTACTGCAAATTAATTTACACCTCTGTACTTCACTGCCAGGACACTGCGGGCCCTACAAACCCATTCACACCTTTCCACTTCTCTGCCAGGACACTGCAGGCACTACAAACCCATTCACACCTTTCCACTTCTCTGCCAGGGCACTGTGGGCACTACAAACGAATTCACACCTCTCTATCTACTTCACTGTCAATTATATTAAAGGAGAACTATGGGGTTAAGGCTTTTCCCCATAGTTCTCCTCAGGGTAACGGGAGGACACAAACTAGCGTCCTCCCGTCACCCTAGGATCAGTATACCGCGAGCAGTAGCTCGCGGTATACTGAGACGCCGCAACTGAAGCGGATCCCCGACAATTATGCCGGGATCCGCCCAGCTGCGTGACTGACAGCTGGCTCTGCCCATCTAGAGGCAGAGCCAGCTGTACCCGCCCCCGTCCGTTCTGCCAGTCAGCACTGGCGGATCGGAGCGGGGAGTGGGGAATCCAGCCAGAGAGCCGTGACAGGATCGAGAGGTGAGCGAACGCCGGTAAGTGTTCGCTCACCTCCTGAGCCGACCTGTGACAGTCTCATTGTCACAGGTCGGCTAGAACTATGAGGTGAGTTAAAAGCACTCATGTCATAGTTCTCCTTTAAATGCCTAACTCCAGGGAAAAAAAAAGATTGACCCTTGCCTTGGGTACCCCTCACCACTGCAAGGGTTAACTCCTTGTTCAGGGATGATGAATAGGTTGATATACTTACCTTATCTCTCGCTCCCGTGCGACTGGTCCCCTGAAGCCTTCACTTGCAGCTCTCTGATGTCATCCTGTACAATGCAGGACCAGCAGTCCTGTCTTTTATGGGGTGAGTGACACTAAGGTTCCGCACACAACCCAGAGCGCTGGACAGTACAGGAGAGGGCTGGGTGCCGGGGAGCAAGGCATCACCTTATTCATCATCCCCGAGGCAAAACCTGCAATTAACCCTTGCAGTGTGAAGGTGGGCCCTGTACTGCAGAATCAGAATGACAGCCTTGCTGTTCCTTTACAGATATAAAACTAAACCCAGCGAGGACTATGAAGATCCGCAGGATGTCCTGGCAATAAAAAACGCCAAAGAAAACATGGGGGACTTTAAACTGAAGACAGCAGAGGACTACACCGTCCCCGAGCACCTCCGTATCAACGCAGAGCAGAAGAGGAACGAGCTGGCAATGCTAGAGAATATTGTACGTACAGCAATGGTGGCTTACCTGCGGCCTGGTGGCCAAATGCAGTTCACTGGCACTTGTGTGGCACATCACGGCTGGTGGGAGGAGCCGGCAGGGTGCTGTCCATAGCTTCCTGAAAACATCACAGCACCCTGCTACAGTATTCCTCTTAAGAGCCCTCATTCCTGGTTCAAACAGTCGGTTGGCTCTTGGGAATGCTTTATGCAAATATTAAAATGCCTTGATGGGTGGATATCAGTCTGGAGGAGTCAGTGTTCCTAGGTAGCCTGTATTTGCATGTGATGCTGAGCTTTCATGATTGAAAGAAATGCATTCCAAATACTTAAAGGGGTGGGCCAGGGACTGTCGTGCAAAGGTGAAAAGGCTAGATAATGCTGGAAGTCCTCCAGCCTTGTAATGATGTGGGATCTATCAGGCTTTCTGCAGTAGACGCTCACAGTGTGCAGTGAAATCAGAGGAAGCAATTTCAGTCCAGGAGAGGAGGCGGTACAACTGTGCAAGACCAAAGGGAAAGCCGGAGGTCAAGGACATTTCCACCTTTGTAAGTGATTTTGAGTTTTTGGTGGCAATGGGGAGGTGCAGGGGGGATGTACATGTGTGGGAGGGGGATGTACATGTGTGGGCGGGGGGGATGTACATGTGTGTGAATTCTCAGGAGTCACAGAGCTGTATTTCATACTTTATTTTATAGATTCTTTTACAGGCCAGAGGCCTAGAAGTTCAAAATTCCCTCCACCATATCTTCAATCCATCTCTCTCACAGGGTCGGGTTTCTTATCAGTAAACTGCAATCAGCTGTCCCCCCCTCTGCTCTGGAGAGACAGCAGGATGGGTCATAGCTCTGTGTGTCTGTGTGTGAGTGTTGGGAGGACACAGAGAGAAGTCTATAGAACACAAGTGACAGGATATCCTGTGTCTCTCTCAGATCTCCCCCTTATCCTGGGTCACATCTACTCTCTGCTGCCCCAAGTCCAGGTTCCCCAATGTCCCCCTTCCCCTCCCCCCACCAGTCTTCTCATTTACACATATGACTGCTAGAACAGATAAAAAGAGAATGGAAGGGTAATTGATCAAAATTGGAGCAAACAGAATCTGGAGCAGTTGTCCATGGCAACCAATCAGTTTGTTCCGTTACGATTTGAAAATGAGAGAGAGAAGCTGATTGGCTGCCATGCACAGCTGCTCCAGTTTTCGCCTGCTCCAGTTTTGATAGATCCCCCCCCCATTATGTCTTTTCACTTATTTATACACGCCTACACATTTATAATTATTCAATAAATCACTTAGCATACAGAAAATTAAGTGATGCTGTAGCATGCACTTAGTCACAAGTATATCAGGAACATTTCTGTGTAGTTATTTATAACGTCCCCAAACTGTGCAGTGTCCCTGGGGAGAGGAGATGTGCAGCATCACAGGAGATGTGCGGGGTCGCTGGAAATTGTTTGGTGTCACTGCACATGTACTCTCTGCACATCCCAGGTGACCCCGCACATCTTCGGTGACACCGCACATGCCCGGTGACACCGCACATGCCCGGTGACACCGCACAATGCCCGGTGACCCCGCACATGCCCGGTGACCCCGCCCACATGCCCAGTGACCCTGCACATGCCCATTGCCACCAAAAACTCAAAATCACTTACAAAGCAAACTGGATGCTGTACCCTGACTAGCCAAAGCACGGCTTTGGCATTCTTCATTGTGTGGCCTGTTTTACTTTCCTCCTCTGCCCATCATACCATAAGTTGGATTTCCAAGTGATTAATGCTATTTATTTGTTTGTGCCTTTGTACAGATTCACGAACAAAAGTCGACCATTAACCGCTCCATCTTGGAGCTGCGAGATTTCAAGGTGGAAACCATAGAAAAAATGAAGAGTTTGGTGGAGGAACTGAAAGTTATCCAGTCTGTGCTGGACCCTTCCAAACATCTCACCATCCCAAAAGTCCCATCACTGCACCCCGATGAGACTCCGGAGAGGAAGTTCCAGTATGACAGCGAGACCCTCCAAAAATTCAAACAAGAACAAGCGAAGCAGGTCCAGGCCCAGCCGATGACGGGAGAAGGTGGATTTGGGGCCTTCGAAGGGTTTGCAGGGAAGCTGCAAGCTGTAGTTAAACTGTCCCGGGTGTCTTCAAGGCCATCCACCACAAGTACCATCAGGTCTTACCGCGCAGTTTCTGCTGGAACCCACCATATGGAGGACTCAGAACTGTCAGAGCTGGAGAAGGAGATGATTCGGATTGAGGAAATTAAAAATCTCTATAGGCAGGAAAACATCATCAAACAGGTACATTGCACCATCATATCGAAGAGGGGATAGCATTATATAGGAGGGAAACATTAAAATGAAGAATGGCGAGGGGTTAAAACCCATCAGGTTGTTATTGCTGAAATATGTTCGCCGCTCATAGGCCCACATTTACTGGGTGACTCTGATTGACTGTTTGCCAGAAGCCAAGCACGGACTCGTCCAGTGCCCATTAGTAAATCCAAAGGAAAAAAAAGCCAACAGCACCAGGTTACAATTCGGCACAGGTGTAACTTTATGTTGCAGACAATCAAATGCAAAGTACCCACCTAAGACCTATTCCTCTGACCCGTCTCACTCAACGAAGGTCAGGAGGGGAGAGGTTTTCATGCAACCATGGGAATGGTAAATGACAGTGCTTTAAGGGATACATACCTCAAACAATTATATATCCACCATGTGTCCGTGAAGGTTCTTATTCATCCAGGTCATGGTATAGCTAGTAGTACTCATACACATTTAGCTGGACTTGTTCTGTATTGTTGAAGCTGTTTTGTAGCCTATCCAAGACACTTCTTCAGTTCTGAGGAACAGAACAGTGTCAGGAACATATCCCAGCATTTATATCCACACAGGTAGCACAGATATCACAGATCCCATCACCATGGAAAGGAAGATATTGATTGTCCAAGTACAGAATGGGAGGTAGGAATGATGTGGAACCCCGCTGTTCTAGTTACATATTCCCATCTTTGGTGTCAGGAAATCTGTATAGGTCAAACCTTCGATTTACATGGCTGAAGGTGTCAGCTGTTGTCAAAACACTGGGGTAGAGATGTTAAAACGGAGCCATATGTGGAAAAGAGATAGTTTAGAAGGCCCTCACCCTTGTTCAAAGATGGTTGTTCCAGGTTTGACTTTGATGGTCTATTTTACGCCTCTTGCGAACTAGTTGTCCTCCATGTCCAATATGCACCTCACTGTCCTCGAAAAAATGTCCCTTACCCTTATGGTGTAGGACACCTGCTGAGTCTTGATCTGTAGAATATGTCCTTCTATGTTGGCCCATTCCTTTCTCGAGAAGTTCTTTTTTCTCTCCAGTGTTGCTTTCCTCACTACACTGCACCGCAATTACCAAGTTACTTCGCTTGTGTTTGGGTGTTGGGTCCTTTGGAGGAGACAGAAGTTTGCACATCCGAAAGACCCAACACCCAAACACAAGAGAAGTAATTTGGTATATGCAAAAGACCTTTATACTGGGAGGCAATAGAACCGCTCAACAAATGAATGGAAAAATACAGTTACCGCTCGCTGAGACACACACAGCTGCGGCTGTTACAGCCCCGTCCATTGCCCGCTGCCTATTGCTGACAACACAGCGATCCCCCTGCCTCTCTCCCACACCGCACAGACCCCTCACGGCACTTCGGACGAAGTCCCCTCTTCTCATCTACACTCTCCCGTGGATATACCTCTTGGATTAATACATCGATCACAGTCGGACACCACACCACGAGTGCCCCGATCCTCCATACCGGCCGTCCATCTCCAGATCCTGGCATTCACACGTAAGTGCCACCACCTTCAGTTCTTCATCACTACTTTGTTAACTAGCCAGTGTTCTCTGCGCCCTTTCTTGGTTTTTTGAATATCAACAAATGAATGGCCCAGCATAGGAGGGCAAATTCTACAGATCTACACTTTAAGGGAAAGGGACATTCTCTCAAGGATGGTGAGGTGCATCATTTTGGACAACTGGTTTGCAAGAGGTGTGAATGAGGCCCATGCAGCTGCTTATACAGGAGAAGAAGCCCCCCGTGTAAGATCCAAGTTATGACCTGCAGCCTACACAGTGCTGAGGACTCTTTCCCCATGGACAGTACTGATTTGCCAAGCACCAGTGGGAGGAAGGAAATGAGTCACATGCTCCTCCATATCCATAAGTACTGGGTATGTCACTGCTGAGTGAAGAAATGCAAATGTGGCTGTTATTAAAGTCAACCTACATTTGTTTAAAAGTATAAAAATTAGGGCTGGTAATGATTAAAATTTTCGTGTTCGATTAATCGAAAAAAAGTAATCGATTAATTGATTAATTATAACGCACATACAGATCCAACTACATTGGCCTATACACATACAGCACAGCAATGAAGTAATAAAATGAACTAGGATCACACTAATCCAGCACGTTATTAATCTCACGTGCCCCACTCAATATGGCCGCCGCTTGAGTGGGGCAACTCAGAATAATAACGTGCTGGATTAGTGTGATCCTAGTTCCTTTTATGACTTCATTGCTGTGCTGTGTTTTTTTTTTGGCGGAATCAGGTTCAGGGTCATTCAGCAAATAAGGTTATTGGCATTTATAGGTATTTTCCTACCAGAGTAGCCATATGCCCAAGGTGATTGCCACGATAAAAGGCTGATTACCTTGAAGATGTTTAAATACAAAAAAATCTTGCATTTGGCTGGACCGGCCACATTAAGTAACATGCTTGCTTGCTTGCAGATAAATCATCTGATGATTAGCTTTGACGCCGAGCTCCGCCTCCTGCGACACAAGAAGCTGCAGCTGGACGTACAAATGAAAATAGCCGACCTCCGACACGTCACCCTTTTCGAGGAGCTGATGCTGCTGAAAGAATTTGAGAAGAGAGAAGACAATCTGCAGGAGAAGGTCAGCGATCGAGTCTCTGAGCTGGAGGAGATGAAGGTGAGCCGGACGGCCATTACATACATGTACAGTGATGGTACACTGACCCGTCCCAGGGATAAGTAGCACTCCTTGCTCTCTACTTCGGAAACCATTCCTGCTGAAGCTGACCTCAGGATTGGTCTTGTATGTGGAATAATTCTGTGACATTGTACGTTATTCTTCCCCCTTACATACTAAACATAGAGCCCATGTTCCAACATTCGCTTTTAGAAGCCACCCTAAAAGCTCGTTGAAGGAGAATTATGAGGCGAGTGATTTTCACTCAGCCTCATAATCTGAGCCGACCTGTGACAATGAAACTGTCACAGGTCGGCTCAGTAGATCGGGAAGTGAGTGAACACATACCGGCGCTCGCTCACTTCTTGATCTATGCGTGCAGAGAGCCCTGACTGTCACTCACGGCTCCCTGCAGGGATTTCCCCCCCTCCCCACTCTGATCCTCCAGCGCTGACTGGCGGAACGGACGGGGGAGGGGGCGGGTACCGCTGGCTCTGCCTCTAGATAGGCAAAGCCAGCTGTCACTCACGCAGCTGGGCGGATCTCGACAACGATGTCGGGATCCGCTCCGGCTGCGGCGTCTCAGTATACCGCGAGCTGTAGCTCTCTATATACTGAGCTTTGGGTGACGGGAGGACGCTAGTTTGTGTCCTCCTGTGACCCTTAGGAGAACTATGGGGAAAAGCCCTAACCCCATAGTTCTCCTTTAAGGGAGGTCATCAATGCCTAGGTGGCCAGGCCAAATTTAGCAATGTATGTGTTTAATTTGCCTACGTAGAAACTTTAATGACTTAACTGTCATTATAAAGGCTGATTAATATCTTTCAGTATTTATATTTATATAGATATAGTTCGGTTCACCAAAGATTGCTATTTCCCATTGGACAAAGACAGCAAAAAGTAAAGGAATAAACCTTGACTGAACAGTGACCACACTGGTTATACATAGCTAAGGTCAGCCAGGAAGGTGTACAGTGACCACATTGGTTATACATAGCTAAGGTCAGCCAGGAAGGTGTACAGTGACCACATTGGTTATACAAAGCTAAGGTCAGCCAGGAAGGTGTACAGTGACCACATTGGTTATACATAGCTAAGGTCAGCCAGGAAGGTGAACAGTGACCACATTGGTCATACATAGCTAAGGTCAGCCAGGAAGGTGAACAGTGACCACATTGGTCATACATAGCTAAGGTCAGCCAGGAAGGTGTATAGTGACCACATTGGTTATACATAGCTAAGGTCAGCCAGGAAGGTGAACAGTGACCACATTGGTTATACAAACCTAAGGTCAGCCATGAAGGTGTACAGTGACCACATTGGTTATACAAACCTAAGGTCAGCCAGGAAGGTGAACAGTGACCACATTGGTTATACATAGCTAAGGTCAGCCAGGAAGGTGAACAGTGACCACATTGGTCATACATAGCTAAGGTCAGCCAGGAAGGTGAACAGTGACCACATTGGTCATACATAGCTAAGGTCAGCCAGGAAGGTGAACAGTGACCACATTGGTCATACATAGCTAAGGTCAGCCAGGAAGGTGAACAGTGACCACATTGATCATACATAGCTAAAGTCAGCCATGAAGGTGAACTGATTGCTTGTCTCTAGAAATTCGGCAGCATAGACGGACTCTCTTTGATTTCTCCATAGGGGAAGTCTGAGGATTATCTTCAGCAGCTGGAGACCAAGAAGAAGGACATTGTGAGGCTTCAGGAGAAGGAAAAAGCCTTAGATGCTGCCTTCCACAGCTCCCTGGGCGAGAACAACAAATTTGCCACATTTCTCACTAAAGTCTTCAAGAAGAAAATCAAACGCAGCAAGAAGAAGGAGGTGACGGGGGACGAAGGTTTGTATCCGCACAGCTCATTATGACAGGAAACAAGATTCACTGGCAGGTTTGGGAACACATACTGTGTTGTCAAAGCCAAAATCCTGGCAAGCGTCTAAATACACTTTAAAATACATATGCAGTATATGAATTGTCTCATATGCCATCTGTAATTCTGCTTTAGTCAATGGTGTGACCCATAAAGACTGCAATAAGATTCTGGGCATTTAAAAGGTACTTCCAGCACATCCGGGTCCTGGATCTCTGTGTAGACTATGGGGCAGTTAATTAATGCATCCCGTTCCAAGACCTGCCCTAGACTGTGATTGGACAACAAAGGACCTCATCCTGGTCCAAGACCTACCCTAGACTGTGATTGGACAATGGAGGACCTCATCCTGGTCCAAGACCTACCCTAGATTGTGATTGGAAAATGTAGGACCTCATCCTTTTCCAAGACCTGCCCTAGACTGTGATTGGACAATGCAGGGCTTCATCCTGGTCCAAGACCTGCCCTAGACTGTGATTGGACAATGGTGGACCTCATCCTGGTCCAAGACCTGCCATTGACTGTGATTGGACAATGGTGGACCTCATCCTGGCCCAAGACCTGCCATTGACTGTGATTGGACAATGGTGGACCTCATCCTGGTCCAAGACCTGCCCTTGACTGTGATTGGACAATGGAGGACCTCATCCTGGTCCAAGACCTGTCCTAAACTGTGATTGGACAATGGAGGACCTCTACTGGTTCAAGACCTGCCCTAGACTGTGATTGGACAATGGAGGACCTCTACTGGTTCAAGACCTGCCCTAGACTGTGATTGGACAATGGAGGACCTCATCCTGGTCCAAGACCTGCCCTAGACTGTGATTGGACAATGGAGGACCTCATTCTGGTCCAAGACCTACCCTAGACTGTGAACTAATAATAGAGGCTCTCATCCTGCTCCAAGATCTGCCCTAGACTGTGATTGGACAATGGAGGACCTCATCCTGGTCCAAGACCTGCCCTAGACTGTGAATTGACAATGGAGGACCTCTGATGAGGCCATCCTTCTGTTCTACTGACCTCTAAGCATGTTCACAGTGTTTGAGAGCTCTATATTATGCAGTAGAGCCTTCGTGTGTTATTTCTGTGACCTGCTGCAGCCCATTGCTGATGATTGTTGAATTTCAGCAAACTTGATTTTGCAGCGAAACCACCAATTTTGCATTCTCTTCTTTTCTAGGGACCTCAAATTCTAATAGTGTGCATCCTCTCACTGAGAGTTAAAGCAGAACTCTGCTTTATACACCTTG